ACCCTTGTGAAGGGTGTAGCTCAGTAGAGAGAGACGGAAACAGCAGTGTTAAATGTTGAAAGAAAACGGTCGAACTCTTGGATTTGAAATCCCCGCCAGTATAATTGTCAGTTCTGCACATGCGCAGAGCGTTGTCATAGCAGGAACGTGTCATCCCCAGAACAGTGTAAACAACAAGGAAAATACATGTTTAAAAAGTATATTCAGTACTGGAAAATATATAGAAACAACAGTGCTAAATGTTGAAAAACAGCCCGGAACTTTATAAGACATACAAATGAACTATTTGGGGATACAAGAGTGTGTGAAATATTATTGGAACCGGGCGGTTGGACACGGAGGCGCCGCCAGGACGAACAGTAGACCGGTCGTCGCTTGTGTGGCGGCCGATGGTCTCCTACAATAATGATTACTGCATTGTTCACATACGTGCTATAGCGTTGCTCCTTCTCTGTGTTACTTAGTGCAACCCGTTCTCGCAAATTTAATAAGTCAATATTGACTTATTAAATATGTGCATCGGTGACATACTACACATAATAGTTTCCCTTGAAAAGCTTCATAGAAAACACCGACCTTACCTAACCTACTTAGTATGTAAAAATAAGCATCTTATAGCTTCGTAATTACAATTGTTACTTAACCTATTATAGGTATAGGTTAGGTAATAATTGTAATTACGAAGCAATAAGATGCTTATCTTAACATACTAAGTAGGTTAGGTAAGGTCGGTGTTTTCTATGAAGCTTTTCAAGGGAAACTATTATGTGTAGTATGTCACCTATGCACATATTTAATAAGTCAATATTGACTTATTAAATTTGCGAGAACGGGTTGCTTAGTGATAGGCAGTTTTAAACTGTGTTTATAGAGCCCTGTGTGTAGGCGGTGTTTTGTGTTACTCAGATTTCAGTGAGACGTGGTCTATACCCCGTGGTATACCCCGTGGTATACCCCCAGTGAGACGTGGTCTATACCCCGTGGTATACCCCGTGGTATACCCCCAGTGAGACGTGGTCTATACCCCGTGGTATACCCCGTGGTATACCCCCAGTGAGACGTGGTCTATACCCCGTGGTATACCCCGTGGTATACCCCGTTGTATACCCCGTGGTATACCCCGTGGTATACCCCGTGGTATACCCCGTGGTATACCCCGTGGTATACCCCCAGTAAGACGTGGTCTATACCCCATCAACCTTGGTCACTATCTGTAAAGTGCTTAAGTGCCAGGATTTTGTATATGATTAATACGAATGTTACCTTTGTTGCTCACAAGTGTAGAATAGCATAGTGACCCCTACGTCCCAGTTTGTGTGGAGCCAATAGTCAAGGCACCGCTAAGTCCCAGTTTGTGTGGAGCCAATAGTCAAGGCACCGCTAAGTCCCAGTTTGTGTGGAGCCAATAGTCAAGGCACCGCTAAGTCCCAGTTTGTGTGGAGCCAATAGTCAAGGCACCGCTAAGTCCCAGTTTGTGTGGAGCCAATAGTCAAGGCACCGCTAAGTCCCAGTTTGTGTGGAGCCAATAGTCAAGGCACCGCTAAGTCCCAGTTTGTGTGGAGCCAATAGTCAAGGCACCGCTAAGTCCCAGTTTGTGTGGAGCCAATAGTCAAGGCACCGCTAAGTCCCAGTTTGTGTGGAGCCAATAGTCAAGGCACCGCTAAGTCCCAGTTTGTGTGGGAGCCAATAGTCAAGGCACCGCTAAGTCCCAGTTGTGTGGAGCCAATAGTCAAGGCACCGCTAAGTCCCAGTTTGTGTGGAGCCAATAGTCAAGGCACCGCTAAGTCCCAGTTGTGTGGAGCCAATAGTCAAGGCACCGCTAAGTCCCAGTTTGTGTGGAGCCAATAGTCAAGGCACCGCTAAGTCCCAGTTTGTGTGGAGCCAATAGTCAAGGCACCGCTAAGTCCCAGTTTGTGTGGAGCCAATAGTCAAGGCACCGCTAAGTCCCAGTTTGTGTGGAGCCAATAGTCAAGGCACCCCTAAGTCCCAGTTTGTGTGGAGCCAATAGTCAAGGCACCCCTAAGTCCCAGTTTGTGTGGAGCCAATAGTCAAGGCACCCCTAAGTCCCAGTTTGTGTGGAGCCAATAGTCAAGGCACCGCTAAGTCCCAGTTTGTGTGGAGCCAATAGTCAAGGCACCGCTAAGTCCCAGTTTGTGGGGAGCCAATAGTCAAGGCACCGCTAAGTCCCAGTTTGTGTGGAGCCAATAGTCAAGGCACCGCTAAGTCCCAGTTTGTGTGGAGCCAATAGTCAAGGCACCGCTAAGTCCCAGTTTGTGTGGAGCCAATAGTCAAGGCACCGCTAAGTCCCAGTTTGTGTGGAGCCAATAGTCAAGGCACCGCTAAGTCCCAGTTTGTGTGGAGCCAATAGTCAAGGCACCCCTACGTCCCAGTTTGTGTGGAGCCAATAGTCAAGGCACCCCTACGTCCCAGTTTGTGTGGAGCCAATAGTCAAGGCACCCCTACGTCCCAGTTTGTGTGGAGCCAATAGTCAAGGCACCCCTACGTCCCAGTTTGTGTGGAGCCAATAGTCAAGGCACCCTACGTCCCAGTTTGTGTGGAGCCAATAGTCAAGGCACCCCTACGTCCCAGTTTGTGTGGAGCCAATAGTCAAGGCCTGGCCTTTGAGTGGCCTCGTAGCCTGGTGGATAGCGCGCAGGACTCGTAATTCTGTGGCGCGGGTTCGATTCCCGCACGAGGCAGAAACAAATGGGCAAAGTTTCTTTCACCCTGAATGCCCTGTTACCTAGCAGTAAATAGGTACCTGGGAGTAGTCAGCTGTCACGGGCTGCTTCCTAGGGGTGGAGGCCTGGTCGAGGACCGGGCCGCGGGGACACTAAAAGCCCCGAAATCATCATCTCAAGACATCTCAAGATAACTCAAGGCACCGCTAAGGCTTATGTTTACTGGACGGTATCCCTCTTAATCTCAACAATCCTCTAACATAACAGAGTGACCCATATCTATTAAGTGTAAAATAATCCTGTGTTCCTCAATAACACCCAGTTGTGAAATTGTACCCCAGGTTATCCTGAGGTTATCTTGAGATGATTTCGGGGCTTTTAGTGTCCCCGCGGCCCGGTCCTCGACCAGGCCTCCACCCCCAGGAAGCAGCCCGTGACAGCTGACTAACACCCAGGTACCTATTTTACTGCTAGGTAACAGGGACATAGGGTGAAAGAAACTCTACCCATTGTTTCTCGCCGGCGCCTGGGATCGAACCCAGGACCACAGGATCACAAGTCCAGCGTGCTGTCCGCTCGGCTCCGAAGGGGTATTTTTTGTTCCATGCAGGATAAGACTTATTGTCGGTCAAGTGTTTTGAGGAGTATATCCATATATATCCCTTCCGTTATTTACAAGAAAGAAAGAACTGGGTTTGTTAGTTTGAACACACTTACACAGGGAGTTATTGCACTGTAAGAATAAGTTGTGGAAGCCTCCTCCATCCACAACTTTAATGCCAGATTCGACAAAGAATTTGAACGTCAGAATAGTTAAATTATAATATAAGATGCACAAGATTGGTAGGCAGGGCCACAGAGCTAGATCTCACTCCCTCGTTGTTACAGATAGGTGAGGGTGATGTGGTTGAGGTCATAGTTAGGGGTCAATGTCATGAGTTTTTAGTGGGGGTCAAAAGTCCGGGGTCAAGAGTCCGGGGGTCAAGGTGTAGTTCCCAAAGGTCAATACGTAATGGATTGGGACAAGCGGTCAGGTTTGCGGGGTCAAGGATCGGAGGTTATTGTCGGACATTCTGGTCAGGTCAAGCCATGTCAAGCCACGTCAAGCCAGGCTAGATCAAGCCATGTCAAGCCAGGCTAGATCAAGCCAGGTCAGATCAAGCCACGTGAAGCCAAGCCAGATCATGTCGTGTCAAGCCAAGCCAAATCAAGCCAGGCCAGATCATCTCATGTCAAGCCAGGCCAAATCAAGCCAGCCCATATCAAGCCAGGCCAGATCGAGCCAGGCCATATCAAGCCAGGCCAGATCAAGCCAGGCCAGATCAAGCCAGGCCATATCGAGCCAGGCCATATCGAGCCAGGCCAGATCAAGCCAGGCCATATCGAGCCAGGCCATATCAAGCCAGGCCTAGCCAGGCCAGATCAAGCCAGGCCAGATCGAGCCAGGCCAGATCGAGCCAGGCCAGATCAAGCCAGGCCAGATCAAGCCAGGTCTGGCCACGTACACACGGGCCGGTCTGCACAAATATTATAAAAGTTAAAATTCAAATAATCTCTTCACGAATGTAATATTATTATTTTAAATTGTAGAATTATTTATAATTCTAGCAGGTTATAGAAGGGTGAGATGCCAGTAAGGAAGAGTGTGAGAAGAGTGTCGAGTGTGACACAGGGTCGAGTGAGAAGAGTGTCGAGTGAGAAGAGTGTCGAGTGTGACACAGGGTCGAGTGAGAAGAGTGTCGAGTGTGACAGGGTCGAGTGACAAGAGTGTCGAGTGTGACACAGGGTCGAGTGAGAAGAGTGTCGAGTGTGACACAGGGTCGAGTGACAAGAGTGTCGAGTGTGACACAGGGTCGAGTGACAAGAGTGTCGAGTGTGACACAGGGTCGAGTGAGAAGAGTGTCGAGTGTGACACAGGGTCGAGTGAGAAGAGGTCGAGTGACAAGAGTGTCGAGTGTGACACAGGGTCGAGTGAGAAGAGTGTCGAGTGTGACACAGGGTCGAGTGAGAAGAGTGTCGAGTGTGACACAGGGTCGAGTGAGAAGAGTGTCGAGTGTGACACAGGGTCGAGTGAGAAGTGTCGAGTGTGACTGGACAAGGGAGACCACAACATCAAGACACAGGACAGTTACCAAAGGTGTCAACCCGTATAGAACATGTCCATATCGAGATATACACCAACACCACTACCACTATGTAGCGCCGTAACACTATGTAACACTGGAATACTACGTAACACTGCGGTACTAGTGTAACACTAAGACAACTGCTTTAGCACCACCGACTACCAACACCAACAGGCTGGTGGAGCGGAGTTACCTGGTTGAATATGAGGAAGATGTAGTCTAGTGGGACTGAGGAGATGAGGTCGAGGAAGAACCATGTTTTAAGGTAGTGCTTGGCGATCAACTTGGGGTCGAGGATCACCTGCTCTGAGTTATCTTGCTGCATGATACCTGAGGATGAAGTAAAGGGTCAGTACCTGCTCCTTGGGGGTCGAGGATCACCTGCTCTGAGTTATCTTGCTGCATGATACCTGAGGATGAAGTAAAGGGTCAGTACCTGCTCCTTGGGGGTCGAGGATCACCTGCTCTGAGTTATCTTGCTGCATGATACCTGAGGATGAAGTAAAGGGTCAGTACCTGCTCCTTGGGGGTCGAGGATCACCTGCTCTGAGTTATCTTGCTGCATGATACCTGAGGATGAAGTAAAGGGTCAGTACCTGCTCCTTGGGGGTCGAGGATCACCTGCTCTGAGTTATCTTGCTGCATGATACCTGAGGATGAAGTAAAGGGTCAGTACCTGCTCCTTGGGGGTCGAGGGTCACCTGCTCTGAGTTATCTTGCTGCATGATACCTGAGGATGAAGTAAAGGGTCAGTACCTGCTCCTTGGGGGTCGAGGGTCACCTGATCCTTGAGGTCCACCTCAAGTAGGTAAGAAGAAGAAACTGATACTAAACAATGTGAAGCATTCTCAGTATTTTCTCTATATATTTAGTAATGAACATTCGACACCTGAAGAAATCTTTGTAGGTAGTGGAAGATGCAAGTTCAATTGTTCACTTCTCACAAGCGAGGAACTTGTTCAATATGAACATTACAACCATACAGGACTAGTCGAGGTGTTCGCCGGAGTCCTAAAGGAATGTCAGGATGAGCTAAGTGAGCCCTTGACTTTGTATATTTAACGCATCATATCTAGTCGGAATCGCGGTGAGATGTGAATGTTGGGTGCATCTTGACGACGGGGAATAGTTCACTTCCAGGGAACTGTTGGCTAGTTAAGTTTAATGTTTGTTATTGGTACACTGCTTCTGTCTTATATACTCGCGATACACCTTGCTCTACACTGTATGGGACCAGGGTGTAGATCTGAGAGGAGTCACATCTTGGTTCACCACATCACCACACATGGTTCACCACATCACCACACATGGTTCACCACATCACCACACATGGTTCACCTCATCACCACACATGGTTCATCACATCACCACACTTGGTTCACCACATCACCACACATGGTTCACCACATCACCACACATGGTTCACCACATCACCACACATGGTTCACCTCATCACCACACATGGTTCATCACATCACCACACATGGTTCACCACATCAACACACTTGGTTCACCACATCACCACACTTGGTTCACCACATCACCACACATGGTTCACCTCATCACCACACATGGTTCACCACATCACCACACATGGTTCACCACATCACCACACATGGTTCACCACATCACCACACATGGTTCACCACATCACCACACATGGTTCACCACATCACCACACTTGGTTCACCACATCACCACACATGGTTCACCACATCACCACACTCGGTTCACCACATCACCACACATGGTTCACCACATCACCACACATGGTTCACCACATCACCACACATGGTTCACCACATCACCACACATGGTTCACCACATCACCACACTTGGTTCACCACATCACCACACATGGTTCACCACATCACCACACATGGTTCACCACATCACCACACATGGTTCACCACATCACCACACATGGTTCACCACATCACCACACTTGGGTCACCACATCACCACACATGGTTCACCACATCACCACACATGGTTCACCACATCACCACACATGGTTCACCACATCACCACACATGGTTCACCACATCACCACACATGGTTCACCACATCACCACACATGGTTCACCACATCACCACACATGGTTCACCACATCACCACACATGGTTCACCACATCACCACACATGGTTCACCACATCACCACACATGGTTCACCACATCACCACACATGGTTCACCACATCACCACACATGGTTCACCACATCACCACACATGGTTCACCACATCACCACACATGGTTCACCACATCACCACACATGGTTCACCACATCCAGGGGGAACACATCCAGGGGAACACATCCAGGGGGAACACATCCAGGGGAGCACATCCAGGGGAACACATCCAGGGGAACACATCCAGGGGAACACATCCAGGGGAACACATCCAGGGGAACACATCCAGGGGGACACATCCAGGGGGGACACATCCAGGGGAACACATCCAGGGGAACACATCCAGGGGAACACATCCAGGGGAACACATCAAGGGGAACACATCCAGGGGAACACATCCAGGGGAACACATCCAGGGGGAACACATCCAGGAGAACACATCCAGGGGAACACATCCAGGGGAACACATCCAGGGGAACACATCCAGGGGGAACACATCCAGGGGAACACATCCAAGGAGTACATCCAGGGGAACACATCCAGGGGAGTACATCCAGGGGAGTACATCCAAGGAGTACATCCAGGGGAGTACATCCAGGGGAGTACATCCAGGGGAGTACATCCAGGGGAGTACATCCAAGGAGTACATCCAGGGGAACACATCCAGGGGAGTACATCCAGGGGAGTACATCCAGGGGAGTACATCCAGGGGAGTACATCCAGGGGAGTACATCCAGGGGAGTACATCCAGGGGAGTACATTCAGGGGAGTACATCCAGGGGAGTACATCCAGGGGAGTACATCCAGGGGAACACATCCAGGGGAACACATCCAGGGGAACACATCCAGGGGAGTACATCCAGGGGAACACATCCAGGGGAGTACATCCAGGGGGAACACATCCAGGGGGAGTACATCCAGGGGAGTACATCCAGGGGAACACATCCAGGGGAACACATCCAGGGGAACACATCCAGGAGAACACATCCAAGGAGTACATCCAGGGGAACACATCCAGGGGAGTACATCCAGGGGAACACATCCAGGGGAACACATCCAGGGAAACACATCCAGGAGAACACATCCAGGGGAACACATCCAGGGGGAAACACATCCAGGAGAACACATCCAGGGGAACACATCCAGGGGAACACATCCAGGGGAACACATCCAGGGAAACACATCCAGGAGAACACATCCAGGGGAACACATCCAGGGGAACACATCCAAGGAGTACATCCAGGGGAACACATCCAGGGGAACACATCCAGGGGAACACATCCAGAACACATCCAGGGGAACACATCCAGGAGAACACATCCAGGAGAACACATCCAGGGGAACACATCCAGGGGAACACATCCAGGGGAACACATCCAGGGGGACACATCCAGGGGGAACACATCCAGGGGAACACATCCAGGGGAACACATCCAGGGGAACACATCCAGGGGAACACATCCAGGGGAACACATCCAGGGGAACACATCCAGGGGAACACATCCAGGGGAACACATCCAGGGGAGTACATCCAGGGGAGTACATCCAGGGGAACACATCCAGGGGAACACATCCAGGGGAACACATCCAGGGGAACACATCCAGGGGAACACATCCAGGGGAACACATCCAGGGGAACACATCCAGGGGAACACAACCAGGGGAACACATCCAGGGGAACACATCCAGGGGAACACATCCAGGGGAACACATCCAGGGGAACACATCCAGGGGAACACATCCAGGGGAACACATCCAGGGGAACACATCCGAGGGGAACACATCCAGAGGAACACATCCAGGGGAACACATCCAGGGGAACACATCCAGGGGAACACATCCAGGAGAACACATCCAGGGGAACACATCCAGGGGAACACATCCAGGGGAACACATCCAGGGGAACACATCCAGGGGAACACATCCAGGGGAACACATCCAAGGGAGCACATCGAGGGAGTACATCCAGGGGAACACATCCAGGGGAACACATCCAGGGGAACACATCCAGGGGAACACATCCAAGGGAGCACATCGAGGGGAGTACATCCAGGGGAACACAACCAGGGGAACACATCCAGGGGAACACATCCAGGAGAACACATCCAAGGGAACACATCCAGGGGAACACATCCAGGGGAACACATCCAGGGGAACACATCCAGGGGAACACATCCAGGGGAACACATCCAGGGGAACACATCCAAGGGAGCACATCGAGGGAGTACATCCAGGGGAACACATCCAGGGGAACACATCCAGGGGAACACATCCAGGGGAACACATCCAAGGGAGCACATCGAGGGGAGTACATCCAGGAGAACACATCCAGGGGAACACAACCAGGGGAACACAACCAGGGGAACACATCCAGGGGAACACATCCAGGGGAGTACATCCAGGGGAACACAACCAGGGGAACACATCCAGGGGAACACATCCAGGGGAACACATCCAGGGGAACACATCCAGGGGAACACATCCAGGGGAACACATCCAGGGGAACACATCCAGGGGGAACACATCCAGGGGGAACACATCCAAGTTAGTATATCCAGGGTAGCACATCCAGGGGAGCACATCCAGGGAAGTACATCCAGGGGAGTACATCCAGGGGAGCACATCCAGGGAAGTACATCCAGGGGAGTACATCCAGGGAAGTACATCCAGGGGAGTACATCCAGGGGAGTACATCCAGGGAAGTACATCCAGGGTTGTACATCCAGGGAAGTACATCAAGGGGAACACATCCAGGGGAGTACATCCAAAGGGAGCACATCCAGGGGAGTACATCCAGGGGGTACATCCAGGGGAGTACATCCAGGGGGTACATCCAGGGAAACACATCCAGGGGAACACATCCAGGGGAGTACATCCAGGGGAACACATCCAGGGGAGTACATCCAGGCGAGCACATCCAGGGTAGCACATCCAGGGGAGCACATCCAGGGGAGCACCTCCAGGGGAGTACATCCAGGGGAGTACATCCAGGTGAGTACATCCAGGGGAGTACATCCAGGTGAGTACATCCAGGGGAGTACATCCAGGGTAACACATCCAGGGGAGTACATCCAGGTGAGTACATCCAGGGGAGTACATCCAGGGTAACACATCCAGGGGAGTACATCCAGGGGAACACAACCAGGGGAACACATCCAGGAGAACACATCCAGGGGAACACATCCAGGGGAACACAACCAGGGGAACACATCCAGGGGAGCATAACACAGGTGTACCCAGGTCCAATACAATCCCCTGGGGGGGGGGCCAACTGCCCATAACTCCCCCTCGCTACACTGCTGTATTGAAGCCATCAGCTATTTGTTTGATAATTGTTTATTGACCCAGTAAATATATCTACCGCCCCCCCCCCCCCCACACCACCACCTCAATTCTCCTGACACATTTGTGCCCTGTGCCCTGAGGCAGAGGGGCACTGTGGTGCCGAGGGTGGGTATGGGCACCTCAGAGTCCCACCTTGCACGTGTAGGCAACTTAAAGTCTTCTTAATACATTCTATTCTAATGCTAGCTTAATTTACCACTGCTATTATAAACGGTAGTGGACCCCAACCGTAAACGGCAGTGGACCCCAACCATAAACGGCAGATCAAGGCAAGAAAACAGAAACAAACAGAAGGACGGCCTCTCAACTCACCCGTTCTAAAATTGACGACAATATCTATAAGGAAGATGGTGTCTGAGAGGCAGTTGAAGGCGATCCAGCGAGTGGACAAGTCATCGTTGAAGAAGGAGATAGCCACAGGCAGGATGATCAGGTTGGCCACTAGCAGGAACAGCATACACAGGTCCCAGTAGAACCTGTAACAGTTCACCAGTATTACCACACAGGTCCCAGTAGAACCTGCAACAGTACACCAGTATTACCACACAGGTCCCAGTAGAACCTGTAACAGTTCACCAGTATTACCACACAGGTCCCAGTAGAGCCTGTAACAGTACACCAGTATTACCACACAGGTCCCAGTAGAACCTGTAACAGTTCACCAGTATTACCACACAGGTCCCAGTAGAGCCTGTAACAGTTCACCAGTATTACCACACAGGTCCCAGTAGAGCCTGTAACAGTACACCAGTATTACCACACAGGTCCCAGTAGAACCTGTAACAGTTCACCAGTATTACCACACAGGTCCCAGTAGAACCTGTAACAGTTCACCAGTATTACCACACAGGTCCCAGTAGAACCTGTAACAGTTCACCAGTATTACCACACAGGTCCCAGTAGAACCTGTAACAGTTCACCAGTATTACCACACAGGTCCCAGTAGAACCTGTAACAGTTCACCAGTATTACCACACAGGTCCCAGTAGAACCTGTAACAGTTCACCAGTATTACCACACAGGTCCCAGTAGAACCTGTAACAGTTCACCAGTATTACCACACAGGTCCCAGTAGAACCTGCAACAGTACACCAGTATTACCACACAGGTCCCAGTAGAACCTGCAACAGTACACCAGTATTACCACACAGGTCCCAGTAGAACCTGCAAGATCTCAACAGTTAGCACACAAGACCTAAAATGTATATTTTGTTAATAAACATACCAAAATAATTACCCAAAATGTACTAAATTTGAGTAAAAAGTACTAAATTCAAATTGGTAATGTGTTTCAGAATGCCTTCCTACCTGTGCAATACTCCCTTCTACTTATCAATCACAGTACTTACAAAATGTTTTATCCTGGTCTCTCTCTCTTGCTGTAAACGATCCACTCGCAAAATCCTTCATCAAATCAGTAAGACACTTTGAGTTCAGAATTTTGTAACTTTTTCGAGACTGCCCTACGAGACTGAGATATGGTGTATCTCTCCCTAGATATGGTGTATATTCTCCTAAATATAGCGTATCTCCCGTAGATATGGTGTATCTCCCCCTAGATATTGTGTATCTCCCCTAGATATGGGGTATCTCCCCCTAGATATTGTGTAGACAAGTAGACAAGTAGACTTGAGACTACTTGTCTCAAGTCTACTTGAGACAAGTAGACTCAAGTCTAACACGTGAGGAAACATCTCACCTCTCACCTCCTCTCACTAAGAGGCGGTGGTGAGAGGGAGGGAGAGTGAGTTCTCACTGGTGTAGACATTAACACCTTGCCTAAAGGGCTACACAAGGGCTGGACCTGATCAATACTAGTACACACCCACGAGGCACAATATCTGGGGGAGATACACCATATCCAGGGGGAGATACACCATATGTAGGGGGAGATACTCCATATCTAGGGGGAGATACACCATATGTAGGGGGAGATACACCATATCTAGGAGGAGATACACCATATGTAGGGGGAGATACACCATATCTAGGGGGAGATACACCATATGTAGGGGGAGATACACCATATCTAGGGGGAGATACACCATATGTAGGGGGAGATACACCATATCTAGGAGGAGATACACCATATGTAGGGGGAGATACACCATATCTAGGAGGAGATACACCATATCTAGGGGAGATACACCATATCTAGGGAGAGAAACACTATATCTAGGGAGACACCATATCCAGAGGAAGGTACACCATATCTAGAGAGAGATACACCATATCTAGGGAAGATACACCATATCTAGGAGAGATACACAACATATAGGGGGAGATACGCCATATCCAGGGGAAGATACGCCATATCGAGGGAGAGATACACCATATCTAGGGGGATACACCATATCTAGGGGAGATACACCATATCTAGGGGAGATACACCATATCTAGGGGAGATACACAACATCTAGGGGGAGATACGCCATATCTAGGAAGAGAAACACCATATCTAGGGAGGTACACCATATCTAGGGAGAGATACACCATATCTAGGGGAAGTACACCATATCTAGGGAGAGATACACCATATCTAGGGGAAGTACACCATATCTAGGGAGAGATACACCATATCTAGGGGAAGTACACCATATCTAGGGAGAAATACGCCATATCTAGGGAGAAACATACCATATCTAGGGAGATATACACCATATCTAGGGGGAGATACACCATATCTAGGGGGAGATATGGTGTATCTAGGGAGAGATATGTCGTATATCTAGGGAGATATACGACATATCTAGGGGAGACACGTCATATCTAGGGAGAGATACGCCATATCTAGGGAGAGATACGCCATATCTAGAGGAGATACACCATATCTAGGGGAGATACACCATATCTAGGAAGAGATAAACTATATCTAGGGGAGATACGCCATATCTAGGGAGAGATACGCCATATCTAGGGAGAGATACGCCATATCTAGGGAGAGATACGCCATATCTAGGGAGAGATACGCCGTATCTAGGGGGAAGGAACACCATATCTAGGGAGAGATACACCATATCTAGGGGAGATACACCATATCTAGGGGAGCTACACAACATCTAGGGGAAGATACGCCATATCTAGGGTGGAGATACACCATATCTAGGGTGGAGATACATCATATCTAGGTAGAAATACACCATATCTAGGGAGAGATACGCCATATCTAGGGAAAGATACACCATATCTAGGGGGAGATACACCATATCTAGGGGGAGATACACCATATCTAGGGAGAGATACGCTATATTTAGGGGAGGTACACCATATGTAGGGAGAGATACACCATATCTAGGGAGAGATACACCATATCTAGGGGGAAGTACACCATATCTAAGGAGAGATACACCGTATCTAGGGGGGAGATACGCCATATCTAGGGAGAGATACGCTATATTTAGGGGAGGTACACCATATGTAGGGAGAGATACACCATATCTAGGGAGAGATACACCATATCTAGGGGAAGTACACCATATCTAAAGAGAGATACACCATATCTAGGGAGAGATACGCTATATCTAAGGAAGGTACACCATATTTAGGGAGAGATACACCATATATAGGGGAAGTACACCATATCTAGGGAGAGATACGACATATCTAGGGAGAGATACGCTATATCTAGGGGAGGTACACCATATCTAGGGGGAGATACGACATATCTAGGGAGAGATACGCTATATCTAGGGGAGGTACACCATATCTAGGGGGAGATACACCATATCTAGAGGAAGTACACCATATCTAGGGAGAGATACACCATATCTACGGGAGATAAGCCATATCTAGGAGGAGATACACCATATCTAGGAAGAGATACGCCATATCTAGGGAAAGATACACCATATCTAGGGGAGGTGGCCACTCCCCCAACACCCGCCAACACCTTGTTAACTCTGACGTCACAGGTGACAGAGATGGTCGTTAGCTCTACCTTCCTGCACACCAATTTGCCTTCCAATAATTCTCTCCCATTTTACAACGAACACACACACGCACGCACACTCACACTCGCACACTCACACGCACACACACACACACACACACACACACACACACACACACACACACACACACACACACACACACACACACACACGCACGCACGTGGGAGAGTGGCGGGGAGTAGGAGAAAGCATGGGAGTGAGCGTGTGCCTCCAGCGTGCATGGGAGCACCACCAGCGGCCATGGGAGCACCACCAGCGGCCATGGGAGCACCACCAGCGTGCATGGGAGCCCACCAGCGTGCATGGGAGCACCACCAGCGTGCATGGGAGCCCACCAGCGTGCATGGGAGCACCACCACCGTACATGGGAGCACCACCAAGGCCAGCCTGGAGACCAAAATAGCACATGGGCGGTGATGCGTGTGAGTGAGTGCTGGACTTCTCTGGCTGACAGCCCCTTCCCTCGCTCCGCTGGCCGCCCCTGGCCGCCCCTGCTGGCCGGTAGGGAGCAGGGGCGGGTGTGTGCCCCCTGGAGGCAGGGGGAGGAGGGCCACGCCTGCAGGGGTGTGGGCGGGGCGGGCAGGGACCCCAGGACGCATCTAATACAACTTTCTGAATGTTCGCCTTTAGTGTGCTGTGACGAAGTCTCTTCATCCCCCAGCTGCCCCGCCCTCTGCCGCGCCCTCGTTCTGGGGTCCCCAGAGCGTCCTGGGGGTCCCCAGAGCGTCCTGGGGGTCCCCAGAGCATCCTGGGGGTCCCCAGAGCATCCTGGGGGTCCCCAGAGCATCCTGGGGGTCCTCAGAGCATCCTGGGGGTCCACAGAGCATCCTGGGGGTCCCCAGAGCATCCTGGGGGTCCTCAGAGCATCCTGGGGGTCCACAGAGCATCCTGGGGGTCACCAGAGCGTCCTGAGGGTCCCCAGAGCATCCTGGGGGTCCCCAGAGCGTCCAGGGGTACACAGAGATCGTTCTGGGGTCCACAAAGCGTCCTGGGGTCCTCATACACCAGCCCGTCCTCATAAACAAAGACCCAAAGTCCATTCCATCCACCCGCTAACCCCCGCTGTTTATGAATGAAAAACGGTGTACGAACGACTCACAACTGCTGACGTTCGAACACTTCCGGAACAAGTGCTTCACTGACGACTTGTGTTCGAACCACAACGCTGTAAATGCTCCACCCACGTATTACAAATAATCGCCAAGAGAACCTAAACACCTAACCTATGCCTATATATGCACAGTATGCTCATGTATAACAATATTAACATTTTGAGAAAATTCCTGTTTTGAATGACCATAAATGTTAAAACTGATGAATGCATCTTTGGGGTCGACCGCTGGATGGAATGGACTTAATTGTTGTGAGGACCCACTGACCTGGCCAGTGTGCTAGGCCGTGTCCGGTGAGCTGGTTATGTACATGTCTCCAGCGGACGTCAGCTGCCACACAACAGCCAAACTTGGCCAATATTATCCTGGCCAGCCCAACTTGTTCCGTCACGCGGCGCGGTTACCTGCCAGTTGCCAGCCATCTACGGTGACCTTGCCTCACTGTACACCGTCACTGTGGTGGTCCTGGTCACTGTAGACCCTCACTACGCCTTCATGTTGCTTCCAAATTCACGGTAATAGTTAAGAAATCAGTAAGGAGATGGAGAGCATGAGGTAAGGGGGGGGGGGGTGAGAGGACTGGTGAGGGAAAGGGGGTGTGAGAGTGGGATGGAATGGTGGGGGGGAGGGGGCGGCGGAATGGGGGCAGGGAATAGTTAATATCAGATCTTGTCCGGTTCCGCTGGGTTAGGATTGTCAGGTGTCAATACTGCAGACACCAGGGCCACAGCTGGCCATACGAATCCAACTCTGGACAACTAATGCAACAGCAGCGCCAGGTTGGCTGTTACGCCTGGCTGCCACCATTGTCACAGTCCTCGCTGCCACCATTGTCACAGTCCTCGCTGCCACCATTGTCAGAGTCCTCGCTGCCACCATTGTTAAGAGTCCTCGCTGCCACCATTGTTAAGAGTCCTCGCTGCCACCATTGTCACAGCCCTCGCTGCCACCATTGTCAGAGTCCTCGCTGCAACCATTGTTAAGAGTCCTCGCTGCCACCATTGACACAGCCCTCGCTGCCACCATTGTCACAGTCCTCGCTGCCACCATTGTCACAGTCCTCGCTGCCACCATTGTCAGAGTCCTCGCTGCCACCATTGTTAAGAGTCCTCGCTGCCACCATTGTCACAGCCCTCGCTGCCACCATTGTCACAGTCCTCGCTGCCACCATTGTCACAGTCCTCGCTGCCACCATTGTCAGAGTCCTCGCTGCCACCATTGTTAAGAGTCCTCGCTGCCACCATTGTCACAGCCCTCGCTGCCACCATTGTCACAGTCCTCGCTGCCACCATTGTCACAGTCCTCGCTGCCACCATTGTCACAGTCCTCGCTGCCACCATTGTCACAGCCCTCGCTGCCACCATTGTCACAGCCCTCGCTGCCACCATTGTCACAGCCCTCGCTGCCACCATTGTCACAGCCCTCGCTGCCACCATTGTCACAGCCATCGCTGCCACCATTGTCACAGCCCTCGCTGCCACCATTGTCAGAGTCCTCGCTGCCACCATTGTCACAGTCCTCGCTGCCACCATTGTCACAGCCCTCGCTGCCACCATTGTCACAGCCCTCGCTGCCACCATTGTCACAGCCCTCGCTGCCACCATTGTCACAGCCCTCGCTGCCACCATTGTCAGAGTCCTCGCTGCCACCATTGTCACAGCCCTCGCTGCCACCATTGTCACAGCCCTCGCTGCCACCATTGACACAGCCCTCGCTGCCACCATTGTCAGAGTCCTCGCTGCCACCATTGTCAGAGTCCTCGCTGCCACCATTGACACAGCCCTCGCTGCCACCATTGTCACAGACCTCGCTGCCACGATTGTCACAGTCCTCGCTGCCACCATTGTCAGAGTCCTCGCTGCCACCATTGTCAGAGTCCTCGCTGCCACCATTGACACAGCCCTCGCTGCCACCATTGTCACAGCCCTCGCTGCCACCATTGTCAGTGTCCTCGCTGCCACCATTGTCACAGCCCTCGCTGCCACCATTGACACAGCCCTCGCTGCCACCATTGTCACAGCCCTCGCTGCCACCATTGACACAGTCCTCGCTGCCACCATTGACACAGCCCTCGCTGCCACCATTGTCACAGTCCTCGCTGCCACCATTGACACAGCCCTCGCTGCCACCATTGTCACAGTCCTCACTGCCACCATTGTCAGAGTCCTCGCTGCCACCATTGTCACAGCCCTCGCTGCCACCATTGTCAGAGTCCTCGCTGCCACCATTGTCAGAGTCCTCGCTGCCACCATTGACACAGCCCTCGCTGCCACCATTGTCACAGCCCTCGCTGCCACCATTGTCAGAGTCCTCGCTGCCACCATTGTCACAGCCCTCGCTGCCACCATTGACACAGCCCTCGCTGCCACCATTGTCACAGCCCTCGCTGCCACCATTGACACAGTCCTCGCTGCCACCATTGACACAGCCCTCGCTGCCACCATTGTCACAGTCCTCGCTGCCACCATTGACACAGCCCTCGCTGCCACCATTGTCACAGTCCTCGCTGCCACCATTGTCAGAGTCCTCGCTGCCACCATTGTCACAGCCCTCGCTGCCACCATTGTCAGAGTCCTCGCTGCCACCATTGTTAGGGTCCTAGCTGCCACCATTGTCAGAGTCCTCGCTGCCACCATTGTCACAGTCCTCGCTGCCACCATTGTCACAGTCCTCGCTGCCACCATTGTCACAGCCCTCGCTGCCACCATTATCACAGCCCTCGCTGCCACCATTGTCACAGCCCTCGCTGCCACCATTGTCAGAGTCCTCGCTGCCACCATTGACACAGCCCTCGCTGCCACCATTGTCACACCCCTCGCTGCCACCATTGTCAGAGTCCTCGCTGCCACCATTGACACAGCCCTCGCTGCCACCATTGTCACAGACCTCGCTGCCACCATTGTCAGAGTCCTCGCTGCCACCATTGACACAGCCCTCGCTGCCACCATTGTCACAGGCCTCGCTGCCACCATTGTCACAGTCCTCGCTGCCACCATTGTCACAGCCCTCGCTGCCACCATTGTCACAGCCCTCGCTGCCTACATTGTCACAGTCCTCGCTGCCACCATTGTCAGAGTCCTCGCTGCCACCATTGTCACAGCCCTCGCTGCCACCATTGTCACAGCCCTCGCTGCCACCATTGACACAGCCCTCGCTGCCTCCATTGTCACAGCCCTCGCTGCCACCATTGTCACAGCCCTCGCTGCCACCATTGTCACAGTCCTCGCTGCCACCATTGTCACAGTCCTCGCTGCCACCATTGTCAGAGTCCTCGCTGCCACCATTGACACAGCCCTCGCTGCCACCATTGTCACAGTCCTCGCTGCCACCATTGTCACAGCCCTCGCTGCCACCATTGTCAGAGTCCTCGCTGCCACCATTGTCAGAGTCCTCGCTGCCACCATTGACACAGCCCTCGCTGCCACCATTGTCACAGCCCTCGCTGCCACCATTGTCAGAGTCCTCGCTGCCACCATTGACACAGCCCTCGCTGCCACCATTGTCACAGCCCTCGCTGCCACCATTGACACAGCCCTCGCTGCCACCATTGTCACAGTCCTCGCTGCCACCATTGTCACAGTCCTCGCTGCCACCATTGTCACAGTCCTCGCTGCCACCATTGTCAGAGTCCTCACTGCCACCATTGTCACAGTCCTCGCTGCCACCATTGTCAGAGCCCTCGCTGCCACCATTGTCAGAGCCCTCGCTGCCACCATTGACACAGCCCTCGCTGCCACCATTGTCAGAGCCCTCGCTGCCACCATTGTCACAGTCCTCGCTGCCACCATTGTCAGAGCCCTCGCTGCCACCATTGTCACAGCCCTCGCTGCCACCATTGTCCGGAACCTCCCTAGCACAAGTTTTACACAGGTATTACACCCAGTAGGAACAAGTCTAGACTACTTAGTGTCTAGACTAGACTAGTGTGACTACTCAGCTCCGAAATACTACTCCTCTGACCCCAGTTTTCAGAGCAACAATTAGACTTGTCTTAAGACGTTGCCCAACATTAATTTCCTCCTGTTAAATGCAACAAGTTACTAATTGCAATGTTCAGTTATAACAACCTAATGCCCCATTTATAAATATATTACAGTAACCTAAGTTGTCAGACTTGCCCACTTAACTAGTATTCAAGTCTGAGGATCGTAGCAAAACATTGACTTTGTTTTATCAGAGTCGTAAAAGTTATGGATTAAATGTTCATCTTGTTCAGTTATGGATTAAATGTTCATCTTGTTCAGTTATGGATTAAATGTTCATCTTGTTCAGTTATGGATTAAATGTTCATCTTGTTCGGTTAGGAGCTGCAGGTTATTGTTATATCAGACTACTAGTTTCCCCTCTACTAGTCTACCAGTTTCCCCTCTACCAGCCTACCAGTTTCCCCTCTACTAGTCTACCAGTTTCCCCTCTACCAGTCTACCAGTTTCCCCTCTACCAGCCTACCAGTTTCCCCTCTACCAGCCTACCAGTTTCCCCTCTATCAGTCTACCAGTTTCCCCTCTACCAGCCTACCAGTTTCCCCTCTACCAGCCTACCAGTTTCCCCTCTACCAGTCTACCAGTTTCCCCTCTACCAGCCTACCAGTTTCCCCTCTACCAGCCTACCAGTTCCCCCTCTACCAGCCTACCAGTTTCCCCTCTACCAGTTCCCCCTCTACCAGCCTACCAGTTCCCCCTCTACCAGTCTACCAGTTTCCCCTCTACCAGTCTACCAGTTTCCCCTCTACCAGCCTACCAGTTTCCCCTCTACCAGCCTACCAGTTTCCCCTCAACCAACCAATCAACCAGTTTCCCCTCAACCACAACACACTAAGGGGAAACGCCCTCCCCAGAGAGCACTCAGGCGTTCGGAATATTTACGAACACCCTCCCCCTCCCCTTTCGAACACCCTCCCCCTCCCCTTACGAACACCACATCCCCCTCCCCCCCTTGCCACCAGGAACGGAAAAGCCATCATGTTGGTCGACCCCGAAGCCTGTGCCAGTGACATCTATTTAATTCGCTAGATAAGAATTCGCGCCTTTTTTCCCGCGTTGTTGAGTTCTTTCCCATTATGTGGGATGGGCTGTGGGATGGGCTGTGGGACGGCCCTTGATGACGTTCATGTGTTTTCAACTGCGACCTTTTATACCGCAAACACAACCTGACAGTCGCTTGTTATGCGTGAGTTATGTAGTTGTGGGGGTTCAGGAGGAAGGCCTGAAATGGTGTTTGGATTGTATTGTTGTGCTGTGGGTGGTGTTTGGTCTGGGAACTGCTGTGGGTAGTGTTTGGTCTGGGAACTGCTCTGGGTAGTGTTTGGTCTGGGTACTGTTGTGGGTAGTGTTTGGTCTGGGAACTGTTTTAGTCTCTGGTCTACTGTTGTGGGTAGTGTCTGGCGTGGGTACTGTTGTAGTCTCTGGTCTGGGTACTATTGTGGGTAGTGTTTGGTCTGGGTACTGTTGTAGTCTCTGGTCTACTGTTGTGGGTAGTGTCTGGTCTGGGTACTGTTGTAGTCTCTGGTCTGGGTACTATTGTGGGTAGTGTCTGGTCTGGGTACTGTTGTAGTCTCTGGTCTACTGTTGTGGGTAGTCTCTGGTCTGGGTACTGTTGTAGTCTCTGGTCTGGGTACTGTTGTAGTCTCTGGTCTGGGTACTGTTGTAGTCTCTGGTCTGGGTACTGTTGTAGTCTCTGGTCTGGGTACTATTGTGGGTAGTGTTTGGTTTGGGTACTGTTGTAGTCTCTGGTCTACTGTTGTGGGTAGTCTCTGGTCTGGGTACTGTTGTAGTCTCTGGTCTGGGTACTGTTGTAGTCTCTGGTCTGGGTACTGTTGTAGTCTCTGGTCTGGGTACTGTTGTAGTGTCTGGTCTGGGTACTGTTGAGGGTAGTGTCTGGTCTGGGTACTGTTGTAGTCTCTGGTCTACTGTTGTGGGTAGTGTCTGGTCTGGGTACTGTTGTAGTCTCTGGTCTACTGTTGTGGGTAGTGTCTGGTCTGGGTACTGTTGTAGTCTCTGGTCTACTGTTGTGGGTAGTGTCTGGTCTGGGTACTGTTGTAGTCTCTGGTCTGGGTACTGTTGTAGTCTCTGGTCTACTGTTGTGGGTAGTGTCTGGTCTGGGTACTGTTGTAGTCTCTGGTCTGGGTACTGTTGTAGTCTCTGGTCTGGGTACTGTTGTAGTCTCTGGTCTGGGTACTGTTGTAGTCTCTGGTCTAGGTACTGTTGAGGGTAGTCTCTGGTCTGGGTACTGTTGTAGTCTCTGGTCTGGGTACTGTTTTAGTCTCTGGTCTGGGTACTGTTGTAGTCTCTGGTCTGGGTACTGTTGTAGTCTCTGGTCTGGGTACTGTTGTAGTCTCTGGTCTACTGTTGTGGGTAGTGTCTGGTCTGGGTACTGTTGTAGTCTCTGGTCTGGGTACTGTTGTAGTCTCTGGTCTGGGTACTGTTGTAGTCTCTGGTCTGGGTACTGTTGTAGTCTCTGGTCTGGGTACTGTTGTAGTCTCTGGTCTGGGTACTGTTGTAGTCTCTGGTCTACTGTTGTGGGTAGTGTCTGGTCTGGGTACTGTTGTAGTCTCTGGTCTGGGTACTGTTGTAGTCTCTGGTCTGGGTACTGTTGTAGTCTCTGGTCTGGGTACTGTTTTAGTCTCTGGTCTGGGTACTGTTGAGGGTAGTCTCTGGTCTGGGTACTGTTTTAGTCTCTGGTCTGGGTACTGTTGAGGGTAGTCTCTGGTCTGGGTACTGTTTTAGTCTCTGGTCTGGGTACTGTTGAGGGTAGTCTCTGGTCTGGGTACTGTTGTAGTCTCTGGTCTGGGTACTGTTGTAGTCTCTGGTCTGGGTACTGTTGTAGTCTCTGGTCTGGGTACTGTTGTAGTCTCTGGTCTGGGTACTGTTGTAGTCTCTGGTCTGGGTACTGTTGTAGTGTCTGGTCTGGGTACTGTTGTAGTCTCTGGTCTGGGTACTGTTGTAGTCTCTGGTCTGGGTACTGTTGTAGTCTCTGGTCTGGGTACTATTGTAGTCTCTGGTCTGGGTACTGTTGTAGTCTCTGGTCTGGGTACTGTTGTAGTCTCTGGTCTGGGTACTGTTGTAGTCTCTGGTCTAGGTACTGTTGAGGGTAGTCTCTGGTCTGGGTACTGTTGTAGTCTCTGGTCTGGGTACTGTTGTAGTCTCTGGTCTGGGTACTGTTTTAGTCTCTGGTCTGGGTACTGTTGAGGGTAGTCTCTGGTCTGGGTACTGTTTTAGTCTCTGGTCTGGGTACTGTTGAGGGTAGTCTCTGGTCTGGGTACTGTTTTAGTCTCTGGTCTGGGTACTGTTGAGGGTAGTCTCTGGTCTGGGTACTGTTGTAGTCTCTGGTCTGGGTACTGTTGTAGTCTCTGGTCTGGGTACTGTTGTAGTCTCTGGTCTGGGTACTGTTGTAGTCTCTGGTCTGGGTACTGTTGTAGTCTCTGGTCTGGGTACTGTTGTAGTCTCTGGTCTGGGTACTGTTGTAGTCTCTGGTCTGGGTACTGTTCTGGGTAGTCTCTGGTCTGGGTACTGTTGTAGTCTCTGGTCTAGGTACTGTTGAGGGTAGTCTCTGGTCTGGGTACTGTTGTAGTCTCTGGTCTGGGTACTGTTGTAGTCTCTGGTCTGGGTACTGTTGTAGTCTCTGGTCTGGGTACTGTTGTAGTCTCTGGTCTGGGTACTGTTGTAGTCTCTGGTCTACTGTTGTGGGTAGTGTCTGGTCTGGGTACTGTTGTAGTCTCTGGTCTGGGTACTGTTGTAGTCTCTGGTCTGGGTACTGTTGTAGTCTCTGGTCTGGGTACTGTTGTAGTCTCTGGTCTGGGTACTGTTGAGGGTAGTCTCTGGTCTGGGTTCTCTGGGCCTCAGCTGTGATGGTAAACAAATGTTGCTCAGACCGCGGACGCGCATGTAGCACAGCAACACTGTTACCTGCGGGGGGCGTGACGGGACCCGGGGGGGCGCCCGGGGGGAAGGGACCGCCGCCCCCCTACAAAATGTGGCCACAACGTGACCTGGAAAACGAGTTTTGAACTTGTCAACAAATGCTTCAAGTTGGGACCCGGCGAAGATTGGCAAGATATACCTGTCCTGCCCCGCCCCAGCCCGTCAACTTGACAGTGTCTCCGCCCGTCCACTTGACAGTGTCCCCGCCCGTCCACCTGACAGTGTTCCCGCCCGTCAACCTGACAGTGTCCACCGCCCGTCCGGTGATAGTAAACTCAGTGACAGAGAAAACAATTTGTCAATACCAGACTAAAAATGGACACCCTCCCCCCCCTGGTGGGCAGCCTGCACTCATTATGAGTGAACCTCAGTCCCTCACTCATGCTCCTCACTCAGTCCCTCACTCATGCTCCTCACTCAGTCCCTCACTCATGCTCCTCACTCAGTCCCTCACTCATGCTCCTCACTCAGTCCCTCACTCATGCTCTTCACTCAGTCCCTCACTCACGCTCCTCACTCAGTCCCTCACTCATGCTCCTCACTCAGTCCCTCACTCATGCTCTTCACTCAGTCCCTCACTCATGCTCCTCACTCAGTCCCTCACTCATGCTCCTCACTCAGTCCCTCACTCAAGCTCCTCACTCAGTCCCTCACTCATGCTCCTCACTCAGTCCCTCACTCATGCTCCTCACTCAGTCCCTCACTCATGCTCTTCACTCAGTCCCTCACTCATGCTCCTCACTCAGTCCCTCACTCATGCTCCTCACTCAGTCCCTCACTCATGCTCCTCACTCAGTCCCTCACTCATGCTCCTCACTCAGTCCCTCACTCATGCTCCTCACTCAGTCCCTCACTCATGCTCCTCACTCAGTCCCTCACTCACGCTCCTCACTCAGTCCCTCACTCATGCTCCTCACTCAGTCCCTCACTCATGCTCCTCACTCAGTCCCTCACTCATGCTCCTCACTCAGTCCCTCACTCATGCTATTCACTCAGTCCCTCACTCATGCTCCTCACTCAGTCCCTCACTCATGCTCCTCACTCAGTCCTCACTCAGTCCCTCACTCATGCTCCTCACTCAGTCCCTCACTCACGCTCCTCACTCAGTCCCTCACTCATGCTCCTCACTCAGTCCCTCACTCATGCTCCTCACTCAGTCCCTCACTCATGCTCCTCACTCAGTCCCTCACTCAGTCCCTCACTCATGCTCCTCACTCAGTCCCTCACTCATGCTCCTCACTCAGTCCCTCACTCATGCTCCTCACTCAGTCCCTCACTCATGCTCCTCACTCAGTCCCTCACTCATGCTCCTCACTCAGTCCCTCACTCATGCTCCTCACTCAGTCCCTCACTCACGCTCCTCACTCAGTCCCTCACTCATGCTCTTCACTCAGTCCCTCACTCATGCTCCTCACTCAGTCCCTCACTCATGCTCCTCACTCAGTCCCTCACTCATGCTCCTCACTCAGTCCCTCACTCATGCTCCTCACTCAGTCCCTCACTCATGCTCCTCACTCAGTCCCTCACTCAGTCCCTCACTCATGCTCCTCACTCAGTCCCTCACTCATGCTCCTCACTCATGCTCCTCACTCAGTCCCTCACTCATGCTCCTCACTCAGTCCCTCACTCAGTCCCTCACTGATGCTCCTCACTCAGTCCCTCACTCATGCTCTTCACTCATGCTCCTCACTCAGTCCCTCACTCACGCTCCTCACTCAGTCCCTCACTCACGCTCCTCACTCAGTCCCTCACGCTCCTCACTCAGTCCCTCACTCATGCTCCTCACTCAGTCCCTCACTCAGTCCCTCACTCATGCTCCTCACTCAGTCCCTCACTCATGCTCCTCACTCATGCTCCTCACTCAGTCCCTCACTCATGCTCCTCACTCAGTCCCTCACTCATGCTCCTCACTCAGTCCCTCACTCATGCTCCTCACTCATGCTCCTCACTCAGTCCCTCACTCACGCTCCTCACTCAGTCCCTCACTCACGCTCCTCACTCAGTCCCTCACTCAGTCCCTCACGCTCCTCACTCAGTCCCTCACTCATGCTCCTCACTCAGTCCCTCACTCATGCTCCTCACTCAGTCCCTCACTCATGCTCCTCACTCAGTCCCTCACTCATGCTCCTCACTCAGTCCCTCACTCATGCTCCTCACTCAGTCCCTCACTCAGTCCCTCACTCATGCTCCTCACTCAGTCCCTCACTCACGCTCCTCACTCAGTCCCTCACTCACGCTCCTCACTCATGCTCCTCACTCATGCTCCTCACTCAGTCCCTCACTCATGCTCCTCACTCAGTCCCTCACTCACGCTCCTCACTCAGTCCCTCACTCACGCTCCTCACTCAGTCCCTCACTCAGTCCCTCACGCTCCTCACTCAGTCCCTCACTCACGCTCCTCACTCAGTCCCTCACTCACGCTCCTCACTCATGCTCCTCACTCATGCTCCTCACTCAGTCCCTCACTCATGCTCCTCACTCAGTCCCTCACTCAGTCCCTCACTCATGCTCCTCACTCAGTCCCTCACTCATGCTCCTCACTCAGTCCCTCACTCATGCTCCTCACTCAGTCCCTCACTCATGCTCCTCACTCAGTCCCTCACTCATGCTCCTCACTCAGTCCCTCACTCATGCTCCTCACTCAGTCCCTCACTCATGCTCCTCACTCAGTCCCTCACTCATGCTCCTCACTCAGTCCCTCACTCATGCTCCTCACTCAGTCCCTCACTCATGCTCCTCACTCAGTCCCTCACTCAGTCCCTCACTCATGCTCCTCACTCAGTCCCTCACTCATGCTCCTCACTCATGCTCCTCACTCAGTCCCTCACTCATGCTCCTCACTCAGTCCCTCACTCATGCTCCTCACTCAGTCCCTCACTCATGCTCCTCACTCAGTCACTCACTCATGCTCCTCACTCATGCTCCTCACTCATGCTCCTCACTCATGCTCCTCACTCAGTCCCTCACTCATGCTCCTCACTCAGTCCCTCACTCATGCTCCTCACTCAGTCCCTCACTCATGCTCCTCACTCAGTCCCTCACTCATGCTCCTCACTCAGTCCCTCACTCAGTCCCTCACTCATGCTCCTCACTCAGTCCCTCACTCATGCTCCTCACTCAGTCCCTCACTCATGCTCCTCACTCAGTCCCTCACTCATGCTCCTCACTCAGTCCCTCACTCATGCTCCTCACTCAGTCCCTCACTCATGCTCCTCACTCATGCTCCTCACTCATGCTCCTCACTCATGCTCCTCACTCAGTACCTCACTCATGCTCCTCACTCAGTCCCTCACTCATGCTCCTCACTCAGTCCCTCACTCAGTCCCTCACTCATGCTCCTCACTCAGTACCTCACTCATGCTCCTCACTCAGTCCCTCACTCATGCTCCTCACTCAGTCCCTCACTCATGCTCCTCACTCAGTCCCTCACTCACGCTCCTCACTCTGTCCCTCACTCATGCTCCTCACTCAGTCCCTCACTCATGCCCCTCACTCAGTCCCTCACTCATGCTCCTCACTCAGTCCCTCACTCATGCTCCTCACTCAGTCCCTCACTCAGTCCCTCACTCATGCTCCTCACTCAGTCCCTCACTCATGCTCCTCACTCAGTCCCTCACTCAGTCCCTCACTCATGCTCCTCACTCAGTCCCTCACTCATGCTCCTCACTCAGTCCCTCACTCATGCTCCTCACTCAGTCCCTCACTCATGCTCCTCACTCAGTCCCTCACGCTCCTCACTCTGTCCCTCACTCAGTCCCTCACGCTCCTCACTCTGTCCCTCACTCAGTCCCTCATGCTCCTCACTCAGTCCCTCATGCTCCTCACTCAGTCCCTCATGCTCCTCACTCAGTCCCTCATGCTCCTCACTCAGTCCCTCATGCTCCTCACTCAGTCCCTCATGCTCCTCACTCAGTCCCTCATGCTCCTCACTCAGTCCCTCATGCTCCCCACTCAGTCCCTCATGCTCCTCATTAAGTGGTCCAAGTCTATCTTCATAAAAGTCTGAAAGACCGATCGATGTGGAAGGGGCCGATAGTGGTGTCTAGGGGTGGTACTGGGTGTCCCACACCTGCCAGGGGTGGTACTGGGTGTCCCACACCTGCCAGGGGTGGTACTGGGTGTCCCACACCTGCCAGGGGTGGTACTGGGTGTCCCACACCTGCCAGGGGTGGTACTGGGTGTCCCACACCTGCCAGGGTGGTACTGGGTGTCCCACACCTGCCAGGTGTGGTACTGGGTGTCCCACACCTGCCAGGGGTGGTACTGGGTGTCCCACACCTGCCAGGGGTGGTACTGGGTGTCCCACACCTGCCAGGTGTGGTACTGGGTGTCCCACACCTGCCAGGGGTGGTACTGGGTGTCCCACACCTGCCAGGGGTGGTACTGGGTGTCCCACACCTGCCAGGGGTGGTACTGGGTGTCCCACACCTGCCAGGGGTGGTACTGGGTGTCCCACACCTGCCAGGGGTGGTACTGGGTGTCCCACACCTGCCAGGGGTGGTACTGGGTGTCCCACACCTGCCAGGGGTGGTACTGGGTGTCCCACACCTGCCAGGGGTGGTACTGGGTGTCCCACACCTGCCAGGGGTGGTACTGGGTGTCCCACACCTGCCAGGGGTGGTACTGGGTGTCCCACACCTACCAGGGGTGGTACTGGGTGTCCCACACCTGCCAGGGGTGGTACTGGGTGTCCCACACCTGCCAGGGGTGGTACTGGGTGTCCCACACCTGCCAGGGGTGGTACTGGGTGTCCCACACCTGCCAGGGGTGGTACTGGGTGTCCCACACCTGCCAGGGGTGGTACTGGGTGTCCCACACCTGCCAGGGGTGGTACTGGGTGTCCCACACCTGCCAGGGGTGGTACTGGGTGTCCCACACCTGCCAGGGGTGGTACTGGGTGTCCCACACCTGCCAGGGGTGGT